ATGGTTTTTTGACGAATCTGTAGCAGCGCGAGCGCAGGTTTTTGTGAACATCTTTGTTGCGACGCCATATGCTTTTATATGTGTTCGTAACGTTTGGTTTCGCCACCCTTGCGATGTTGAAAGATTTCGGCATGCGCGCGACGACACGCGTGCGTTTGCACTTGGCCCCATATGTTGCAAAGAGTTGTTGGCAATTGATAAGTTTTTGTAAACGCGCGTGCGCGCATATTGTTATGCAAAAGATAGAGGGGCGGATATAACAGGGATGGTACGAACTCATATGTATTACGGACGATGGGTCAAAGTTATACGTAAATTGCAATACGAAAGCAGGGCCCGTTAAGTTGTGGAAAAGATTGTAATACTCTTTTGAAAAGAAGAGAATCTAGGGTGGGAGTCGATGAATTGCAACCGACGTGGCGGCAACGGGGTGGCGACGAGGCAGCGACAGGGCGGCGACGGCGAGCACATAGCCGCCAGACCACCACCCAGGCCCAGACGACGGGCGGCGACGAGGCGGCGACGGGGCGGCGACGGCGAGCACATAGCCGCCAGACCACCACCCAGGCCAAGACGACGGGCGCCGACGAGGCGGCGACGGCAAGCACATGGCCGCCAGACCGGCACCCAGGCCAGGCTCCTCAGAGGACAAGTCAGAAGCTCTAGGTGCAAGCGCTGCTTGGGCAATGTGTGTATAGACATGTGATTCTCACCTGACCGTCGCGGTGCTGCTAATCCGGTCCTGCGAGCGGGCCCGTCCCGTTGGTTCCCGGGGGCCGTCGTCGGGCAGTCTGGGTGTTTTCTGCTTGGGGCCTCCTGGGTCGCAGGGGCCCCTCTGTGCCGTCTCGAGGGTCTCTTGGAATGTCACCACCTACCAAACCACCCCAACCCAACCCGAAGGCTTCAGTTGGCCCTCCATTTCCAGTGGGGGGGGAACGTTGCAAAAACACAAGGAACCCGTACCCCCCCCCAACCCAGAATTCGGGTCAAATTCGGGTCTTCGGGTTGGGTTGGGGTGGTCTGGTAGGTAGTCAGAGTGCACCGGAGGCCTTGCTGGGCCATGTCGGGGCTCCCCTCGGCTGTCTGGGCCCCCGTTCCCGGCGGGGCTTCTCTTGGGGCGCCGCGGGCACGTCCTGGGGCGAGGGCGCCCTGCGGGCCACACTGTGGCGAGCTTGGGGCCTCGTGGGGCCTCTGCCGATAATGAGGGCGAGCGTGACGAAATCGTGCAATATCTTACGCTTGGCATCGCTCGGACGTGTGCATTCTTCCTTCGGCGAGGACCATCGAGGAGCATCCTTGATCACTTGGCGAAAAACCCACGCACGAAACCGAACAAAGCACACGGAATGGACGTCCGAGCGATGGCGAGTACGGGGAATCGGTTGTTTTTATTTCCGCGGGGCCTCCCGGGGTCCTCTTCTGGCCCAGGGGGGCCGTCGACGAGAGTCTGTTGCTCCATCTTGTGGCCATACTGGGCGGCCTTTGCCCACTCCTGGGCGCCTTGGGGGTCTTTTCGGGGCATTCTTGGGCCCTCTCGGATCGTCTTGTGCCTTCCCAGGGCGCTTCACACCCAGCTTCTCTGGTCCGTCCTCACGCCGTGCTGCATCAGCTTTGCCTGTATAGGGGAAGTCTTGGGCTTATCCAGGGCCTCTGGGTGCGTCTTGGGCTTATCCAGGGCCCTCCTGGACATTGGAAGATGCCCATAAGAATTCCTGAGCAACCCAGATCGGCCAGGAGGCTGTGGGGTATACGCGCCCATGGCTTGTGCTCTGTTGACGTCTCGGGCCTCCCAGTAGACAGCAGAACGGAGAGGACTTGAATGCCAGAAGCAAACCTCGGGAGGGAAGAGCTTTGCGAATGGTACGTCGTCTTGTGTCTCCCGTCAGCGTGTTAGTCCGTCGCTCTTTGTCCGAAAGCTTGGCGTGTGTTTCAGCATTAACACGCTGACAGGTTCCCCACGGCTGCGTGTGACCGACCTTGTTTTGCTCCCTAGCGAAAACAGAAGAGCAGGCACGTTACACAAAAGAGCAGCCCAGCAGCAGAATCCACAGCCACGCGCCACGCGCCACTCCTCTTCCTCCGCCTCCTCATCGTCAGTCCCCCTCCTCATCCCCTTCCTCCCCTTGCCTGGCTCCCTCTTCCTCTTGCTGCTTCCCCCCTCTCCCCCGCCTTTGCTTCTCTCCCCGCTCCTGCTTCGTCTCCTGACCATTAGCCGGAGTCCATGATGGACGCCCGCGGACCTGATGCGACTCGGCACCCTGCGCGGCTTCGCCGTCGTCCCGGCCATCCTCAAGCAGGCAGAGGCGTGGAACGTCAACAACGACGTCGCCCACTCAGGAGGGACGGGAGGGCTGCATAGTCAGTCGTCGGAGGTAGACTTTCACAGTTCCGCACGGGCGCTCTGAATTGTAGAAGTTCCGCGCCGAGTTCTAACCGTCGATGACATGAGGAACGCGCCATCTTCTTGGATCGCCGCTGGACCCCTGGCGGCGCCTCCAGCGCTGCACTTGGTGCGCCCCGTGCGCCAGGGATGAGGGTCCAATGCAAATCTAAGAAATATGTCCCCACAGACCTCCGCAAGTTTATACTTATGCAGTTTGTTTGTTCCCGCGGTGCGGTCAGGGGGGGCAGGGAGGGAATGGGTTCGGGAGAGGAGGGGGGGGGCGGCGGGGGGGGGAACAAATGAGAGGGAGACTGGGTGTGGCTGGCGATCGGGACTGGGAAGGGGTGTGGCGAGCCTGGGGAGGCGATGAGGGACGATGATGCAAATACTGGTGACGACGATGACAATGACGACCATGGCGACGACGACGACGAGGAAGGTGCTGAGGACGGTTATGGCGACGGTGAACGTGATGAGTAGCAGAGACCGACGATGACGGCGAAGATAGCGACGGCGATGACGATATCGCCCACGATGATGTTGACGATGATGTTTCGCTCGTCAACGATTTCCAGCATTGGTGCCTTCGTTCTTGCAGTGCATCAGCCTCGGCTGGCCGTTCCGAGGGCCTGAACTAATTACGTCCGCGCGCACGCGGCCACCTCAGTCGCAACAAGGCGGATGAGCGGCAGGTGCTGCCCAAACTCACCAGCCGCGCCTCGCCGCTGCTTCGGCGGTTCACGCTTCTTCAGACGCCCCCGGCTGTAGGGAGCGCAAGCGCCAGGGAGCCAGAAAGACGGCGGCGCGTCTCACTGTGCATGAACACGCTGAAGGCTCGCGTTGCCACCCAAGTACTCGTCGATGACGTTCTGCAACCACGTGGCAAACGTCTCCGTACACTTTCCACCGAAGTTTTCCATGCCTGCAGCGTCCCATTCCCGCCGAAACCAATCAAAATCTGACCGTTGAGATGGAGACGAACCAGAACCCAGAACCCCGCCTGGGGCGAAGCGCAACTTTCTTTCGGACGCCGCCCTCCTCGGGCCTTCTGGTTCCAGAAAGGCTGCGCCCCCGCTGCTGCGAGGGCTTGTGCCTCCTTCGGTCTTCGCTCCTTTTTGTGTCCTCATATTTTTCTTTTTCTTATTATCATTATCATTAAGATTCTCCTTTTTACTCTCCTTCTCTTTCCTTCTTCTCGCTTAGGAGCCGCCCTTTCTGTTCCTCGTCCTCGGTCACGTGCTCGTCACCCCCATCCTCCTCCAGCTCCTCCTGGGCTCCGTGCGCCCCCACTGCTGCGGAGGCAGCCTCGGGTTCCTCCTCGTCCCTCCATGTTTGGTCTTTCTTGTCAGCCCCCTTCCGCGCCCTCTTTCTTGTAGAGGCCCCTTTGCCAGAATTCCTGCCTCTGCTCTCTGTGAGGGCAAACAAAGCATGGCAGTGTTTCGTGAGGCGGTTCTCCGTCTGGCGCCTGAAGATGATCCTGTGCAAGCGCTTCTAAAAGTCAGTGCCTCGTTGCTTGCGCTCCTCGTCCGTCATCTTGGCCAAGGCCAGCCTCGCTGCCCAATCCAACTGGCGATGTCGCAGACTGTTGGCGATCCCCCGCTGTCGCGGGGGCTTCGACGGCAGATTCAACCAATCTGGCAGAACCGGTTGCTCGCTCGCGGAGGGCACTCGCGAGCCCGACCGGGGCCCAGAATCACGATGCAGTGCGTCACGCGAGTGCGTGCTTCCTCGGACCAGAAGCCCGACCCGAGCGGGCCTGTCCAAGCCGTCCTGCTGCTGCGGAGCAGCTCCGACAGATCGCCCGCGTCTCCGTCGAACATCCTCGCGGGGACGCGCAGGCGATGCTGCGACACCAGGTCACGGACCCCGTCGCGGAGGCCTTGGGGCCACGCGCCACCAATGCGGCTCGTCTCGCACCGAAAGACGCGCCCCCACTGCTATGGAGAGCTCGCCTCTCTTCAAGTCAGGACTGTAGTTCCCCTCTGCCAGGCGATACGCCCAGGCCTGGCACAAGAGCTTCCCGTGGCTGTGTGCGCCCAGGTCCTCGCACTTCTCGGCGCGGGCGGGGCTCCAGAGGAGAGCCCCGACGCACTCGTCCGCGACCGCGCCCCAGAAACCGCCGTGGCGGATCAGCGCGTCGAGCTGTACCTTCTGCTTCTCGCGGCGGGCATCCGCCCCGGGCTCGACATAGACCAGGAGTTACCAGCCTGGAACATATCCCTATCCCTATGCTGGGCACCTCCTCATCACGATGCCAATCTTAGGGATTCCCTTATTTTTTGAGGGCGCATCCCTAAGATCGTCATCGCCTTTTGGCGTGCCACTCTTGGGGATAGGGATACGTTCGAGGCTGGTAAAGGAGGACCCCTTCCTGCCTCCTCCCAGGCATGGCAGCGTCCGCCCCCCAGGACGAGGGAAGCAGAACTCCACGCGCGCGCGCCTGGGGCTGCCCCATCGCGCGCCTCACCTGCCTCGCCGCAGAGCGCCTCCACAAGAGGCCAGGCATTGCTCGGGCTGCGCCTTCCTTCTGGGGATTGCGGGCGGCCGTCCCCGCGGAGAAGACACGAGGCTTCTTCGTTGGGCGGCTCCGCTGCTGCGGAGCCGCCGCGGCGCTCAGGAGGCGCTGGTGCCGACGCCTTGCTGGTCAATGGGAGCCTTGTCCGGGCGCGGCCCCCCCCTGCTGCGAGGGGGGCTCTCGCGCCCAAGCGCTCGCAAGTCCCACCCTGCGTCTTGCGCGGGGAGACGCGGCCGTCTTCTCCGATTCGTCGTGCAGACGGCGTCTTCGCATCCTGGCTTTCTGACGGGCGCCGCGGTCTCGGGTCCTGTGCGCGGGGGGTGTCCTGTCCAGCCTGGATAACCACTTTGGCGTGGCTTGCGGCGGGTGGGTCCACGCATGCCCCCGCTGCTGCGGAGGCCGCCTGCGGAGGCGCGCTCGAACGCTCCCTGAGAGGTGGCGCGCGAGGCGCTGGGCGAGGCGCTGGCGACGACGCCTTGCTCGTCGTTCCGGTGACCGCCATGCTTCTGATTAGCGCGGCGTGTGCGCCGACCATCAGCCGCGGCGCCTGCTCGACGCGGCCAAGTGCTGACGAATCGTCAGCACTTGGCACGCGCGCGCGCGCACTCTCAGCATCCCCTGCAGCCCTGGACCCCGCTGCCGCGGAGGCCGCTGCCCCAGAGCCCTGCGAAGGTCCCTACGCCACTGCTGCGGGGTCCCCCGGTGCCTCGGAATATTGGGCCACATGCGAACCCTGTCCCTACTCCCCACGAACTCTGAGGGGGAGGGTGGGGTTCACTTCGTTCGGGAGGTCACGAGCGAAGTGAACCCCACCCTCCCCCTCAAAAATCGTGGGGGGTAGGGGTAGGGTTCGCAGGTGGCCCCCTACGGAAGCGCGCGGAGGCCCTGCCAGGGCCTGCGGGCGTTCTGCAGGGGCCTCCCGCGACGGCCCCCGCTGCCGCGGAGGCTCTGCGGCAGGGGGCTCCCGCGGGGTGCCGCTGGCGCTCCGGGGGGGGCCATTGCCCCGCGCCGCGCGTCGTCGCGGTGGCGCCGGTTGGCCGGGCGGGGAGGCACCGCCGCAACGGCTGCGGATTGAAGTGCGTTTGACCTGCCCGCGTCTCCATCTCTCCCTCCCACTAAAACGACGGGAAGATCGGGACAAAATCGGATCGGGATAACTCGAAATCTCTGAGAATCGGCGGGTTTGGAGGATGTATTGGGCGCCGCGGCCGCTCCAGAGCGTTCCGGAACGCTCTGAGAGCGCTCCGGAACTCTCTGGAGCGATTTATCCCGATCCTAGCCCTGTTTTGCCATCTGATTTCCTTGCTCCGCCGCCTCCTCCTGATCCGTACCACCCCCACTCAAGGAGGGGGCAGGGGAAGGAGTACAGAGAGAAATTGAGAGAGAGAGAGAGGGACAGAGGGTGTGAGGGAAGGAGAGAGAGAGGGAGAGAGAGAGAGATGCAGAGACGGCGACGAGAGGGAGAAAGGAGAGAGGGGAGCATCTCGTGAGCGAGAGAGAGTGAAACGCCTCGTGATTGAGTCGTCGCCTTCCTCGTCGTCGTCGTCGTCGTTAGAAGTTCGAGGTTTGAAATTCGAAGTTCGAAGTTCGAAATTTCGAAGCTGTGAGTTCGCACTTCGAAGTTCGAAGTTCGAATTGTGAAGTTCGAAGCTCGAAGTTCGAAGTTGGAAGTTTGAAGTTTGAAGTTCGAAGTCGGCAGAAGGTTCGAACTTCGACCTTCGAACCTTTGTCGTTCTCGTCGTCGCCGTCGCTCGTCGTCGCTCGTCGTCGTCGTCGTCGCCGCTCGTCGTCGTCGTCGTCGCTGGACATCGTCGCTCGTCGTCGCGTGTCGTCGCTCGTCGTCGTCGCTCGTCGTCGTCGTCGTCGTCGTCGTCGTCGCTCGTGGTCGTCATCGTCGCTCGTCGCTCGTCGTCGTTGTCGTCGTCGTCGGCGTCGTCGTCGTAGTCGTCGTGATGCGCCTCACACAGACAGAGAAGAGAAGGGAGACAGGAGAGTGCAGCACACCGCGCGCGCAAACCAAACAAACTTAAACGTGGAGCGCCTTCCCCCTGGGCCAGCCAAATCCTTCGAAGGGCACTTACCCGGGGGTGTCTGACACGCGTGCAACACCCCGCACTCATGCAGTGCCGCGCCCTCGGGCAAGAAGCCCACTTGCGGAGTTCTTAGGAGCGAAGGGCTGGGAGAGGAGGTAGGAGGAAAAGGAACAGGCGCGGAGCGGCGGCGAGGGACGGATGGACGGGCGGCGGCGGCGGGAGGGGAGAGGGGGGAGGGACGACTTCACAACGAGGAGCGCGCAACGGCGCCTGCACGCGCGCTCCCGAGCTCAACGGCCGACGCGGCGCGCGCGCGCCCCTCATTGGCGCACCGCTGCTGCGAGTCGCCTTGCACCACAGATCCTCACGAGAGCCCTGCTGCTGCGGAACCACTTGCTCCGGAGCCGCTCCCTGCAGCGGAGCTGGCTGCCGCGGAGCCCCTCTCGGGAACTTTGCCCTCCAGGGCGAATCGCGCGCTTTTGCCGGTAGAAGCGCTGCGCCGCGCCGCCGTGGACGCCGAGGCCCCAGTGCTGGACGCCGAGGCCCCGCCGCTGCTGGACGCCGAGGCCCCGCTGCTGCGGGCCCCCCGGGAAAGCGTCGAACTTTGCTTCTCTTTGCGGGTCTCGAACCGAAACTTTCGCTCTACACGCAGGTCAGGTCAAAAGCCGCGCCATGACGGCACATCGGCAACAGTGCAGACAGTTCAGAGTGCAAAATTCGAATATTGCCGGGCAGTGGCTCTCCTTTCTCTGAGACAGCCATTGCTCCTATCCGAGGCGGTGGTCAGACGGTGTTCGTCCCCGCCCGCCGCCCTGAGCACATGCGCTCTGGGCTTTTCACCCCCAAGAAGCTCTTGGGCGCCCACGCGTTCGCACACCAGCCGGTTTGACCAGTTGCGTAGACGAGGGTCGGAAAATAGCTTTTCGCACGATGCTGGTGTCTGGAATCAGGGCTACTTCTCCGAACAGGAGCAATTGCTTAGCGATCAATTGTTCTTCCAACGGGCGCGCCGAAGCAATGCCGAGAACTCTCTCGTCGGACACTCTTGAAACCATACGGTTCGGTATCCCCCAGGTCTTTTTTGAACAAGAAGCATGACAATAACCATTTCGAACGTATTCAGCCTTGTTTAGTCGCTCTGTCTCTAGACTGTACAAAGACTTAGTAACGGCACATGCTTCACACACCCGCTGCTTCCTGGCTCTGCTCAGTGAGGAATGGCTCCACTCTGCCCTCGGTAGGGTGGAGGTGCCTCGCGCCTCCACCAGCCTCCAGGACACCGCGCACCTTGTGGAGCCAGTGGTTGTCAGAAGACAGCCAGGGTACACGTGTTGTTCCGTGCTGGGGGTAGGCCGCCCGCTCAGATCATGCATCGGCGCAGGGCTGCCGATGCGGAAGACGACGTCTTTGTCCCAGTTCGGAGGCAAACCGCACGGCGCCGTTCGGGCCAACAAACTGTCCAGAGAAGCCTGCACCCATACCGATGATGCGGACATTGGCGCAGTGTCGTCGGCATGCTCGACGTCGTCAGTTTCCAAAGCCATCCTTCTCCCTCTGAGCGTCTGCCAAGATGACGGTAAGAACATTGATGAGCAAATACGGGGACAGCGGTCACCCCTGTGCAATACCAGCTGCTTGCGTGTGAACGGCGGACGTTCTCCCGGCATCTCTAACAGCGTAAAGGTCTGCACCTGCATACGGCCGCAACCATATCGATGTATGGCTCTGGAAGGCCAAATCTGCGTAGAGCCACTTGCATCGCGCTTATGTCGATGCGGTCGAACGCCTTCGACCACTCCAAAAGCAGCACGGACATCTCGCCATGTCTGAGGTCCTGCGCGGCGTCCATCATACGCTGGACCGTGAGGATCGCACGATCTGCTCCCCTGCCAGGGCGAAATCAAACTGCTTGTCTTGGAGGCGATTCTCACCCCCTCCAGTTCGGAGCCGCTCCAAAATCATGGCAGCGAGCATTTTGTAACCGCCTGCCAAAGGGCATATGGGACGATAGTTCGATGGCACCGACGGGTTGCACTATTTGCAATTGCCGACAGTGAGAAGCAAGCCCAGGGTTGCGGAATTGTCCGAGGTTTCCCACACGAGTTACACCCAGGTCGGCGTAATAGCAAAACGTTCCTGGCCCGTCGCTCTGACCCAAGCCCGTGCGGGGCGGCTGCGCCGTGTCCGTAAGCGGCAGCCTGCCCCGTCACCGCGATGCAGCACGAAATTCCCCATCGGCAGCCCCGCTGCTGCGGGGCCCCAGCACGACCTCCATGATGCCTTCGTCCCTGAGCGTCACCACCATCTTCTGCCACCGCCAGGAAACTTCATCGTTCCTCTTGAAATCGAAGCTCGTTCTCTCACCGTGGGCGCGAACGCCAACCATGGTGGGCTCCGCTTTGTCGAACAATTTGGCAGGCGTCTGGAACGGCGCTGCTGCGTCTTCTTGCACGTACCGCCACCGTTTCAACGCTTGGTTGCGTTGTGGATACGGCTGGCCGAGCTTCTCTTCAGAATTCAAAGAATCATCGACGTCAAACTCTTCGCGCTCCTGGGGGCTGCGCGCCAGCGCTGCTGTGATGGCGCGGGGCCCCTGCGGCGCAGGCGCAGCGCGGGGTCCCGACCCGTCTTCTGGCTTTCTATCCCCATGTTCTGGCGAGTTTCGGATGGCAGCCCTCGCGAAATTATCCCATTCGGGCATGCCGGGACCAGGGACGCGGGGGCTCACGACGCCAGGCGCGGCTAAGGGCCGCGGCCATTGAGGCGCGACCGCCGCCGCTGCTGCGGCGGCGAAACAATCGCGCCATTTGCAATCCTTCGTGCGGGCGCTGCTGTTGCTCCCGTCCTGTGCACAATCCCGCCGGCCCCACGCGGACCGGTCTCGCCAGCTCCACGCCGACCAATCATGGCCGCCCCGCCTGTCTCCTCCTGCATTCCCCACTGCAAGACGATCGCGCTGGCGCGCGTCAGGCCTCGAGCGGCCCGAACGCGCCGTTGCTCGCGGGCGATCCCGCGGGTACGGGATGGTCCGAGCATGACGGCGACGGTCGATGCGATGTGATTGGATGGCGGAGCGGCTGGAGGGAAGGGGGCGGGAAGAGGGAGAACGAAGTGGGCGAAGAGCGGGGAGACGAACCAGAGGGGGAGAAACGGGCGGACGAGAACGAGGAAACGCGGGAGAAGGAGGCGACGAGGAAGATGGCGGGGCAGGACGGCAACAAAGGAGGATGCGGTACATCTTGTCACCGAGGTGCAGCGACGAATTGGCCATGATTGCATAGAATAGCACGACGCGGATGGCGAACGCGAAGGTGATGAGCGCGGCAGTAGCAGGAGCGAGGCGAATTCGAGGAGCAGGATGAGGAGGAGCGGGATGACGAGCCCTCCTGTCACAGAGGGCCTCCGTGGATCGGCACAGGATCCCTTCTTGTCACAGAGGGGCAACGTCTTCACCGAATGGCGGCTCTCGGACCAGCCGGGCGCAGCGCCACGTCGGCCCACTCCAGAGCGCCCTCGCGAGCGTAGCCCTCTGGGCCTGCAGACACCTCTGACGGGACTGCCAGAAACAAAAACAACAAAAAAAAAAACAACGCGCGCACTGGGCTTTTGGGGGCCCTGCTGCTCGCTGGCCCCTCCCCCCCCCTCCCGGAGGGCCGCCCTGGCGCCTCCGGAGTGTCGATCCCCTCCCTCCCTCGATGATCCGTCCCCGGTCCTCGTTCCTCCTCCTCGAGCCTCCCTCCCTCCTCGATCCTCGCTCCTCGATCCCCTCCCTCCCTCCTCGATCCCTCTGAATATCGACCCCCTCCCTCCTCGATCCCCCCTCCTCGATCCTCGCTCCTCCTCGAGCCCCCGCCCCGATGCCCTCGACCCTCGAAGCTCCGCGGCCGCTCCTGGCTCGAGGCCGCGGCCAGCCCTGCGCCGCCAGGGCGGCGCCGGGGGGGGGGGGGGGGCGTCGGAGGCGACGAGGGGGGCGAAGAGCCCCAGGGGGGGTGGGGGCGCTCGGGCGGGCGCTCACAGGGGGCGACCCGGAGGGGGAGCGGAGAAGCGTTCCCGGAAAGGGGCCCTTCGGGGCCTCTTTGCTGGGCACCAGCCGGCTCCGACAGTCCGACAGGAGCCTCGGAGGGCCCTGCACCCCCAAGTCGGGTCACCCGCCCGAGCAGCGCACCCAGACTTTTCCTCGGCAGCCCCGGCGGCCGCAGGCGGGGCCCGACAGACATAATTACGGTCTGGACGCCCGAAATGGGTACTGAAAGAATGGGTACAATGCCCAACAGCAGCTCCTGTTCATTTTGAACCGGGCTCGCTGTCCGCGCCGCCGCGGCCTGTGTCCATTCGAGACAGGAGGCCGCCTGCCCAACAGCGGCCGCTGTTGGTTTGGGACAACATTTGCTGTTGGGCATTGTGCCCATTTATTCGGTACCCATTTCGGGCGTCCGAATAGGTGCCTCGACTTCTCCGGCACGGGGTCCCCAGAAGTCCTGCCCCTCTCTCCCCAGGGCCAGCTTTTCGTCCCGAGTAGGGTTGTTTACGTCCCCGTGGCCCGTCGACGGCCCCCCAAATGCCGAAGACGACGAGCACCAAAAATTCCAGCTTCGCTTTGTCGCTGCGTTGGAGGTCTGGGCACGTGCCCATGATCCTAAGGACGTGTGTTCGCCCAGTGTGTGTGTGTGTGTGTGTGTGTGTGTGTGTGTGTGTGTGTGTGCGACCCCGTCTCGCTCCACCGAGGGCACGCATCCGGTGCTGGTCATACTCACACCGCCTGCGTCGTATTGAAGCGCTCCGGCGGACAAGCACACGCTTGCGCGAACGGACGTTCTGAGGATCCTCGACCGTGTGCTCAGGGTCGCCGACGGCCCATGTCGTCGGCGAGGCTCCTCGGCGAATGCAGCACTCGCCGCCTGCAAGAAACTGGCCTGCCAGCAGGTGCCCCGCGGAGGTTTCCCACCCCCGATGGCCCTCTTTGGGCGGCCATAGGAGCCTCGGACCACCTCGGGAAGCTCAGCGCTGGCTTCTGCATTCCGCAAACAGGTGCTTGCACCTACAGTCAGGGCGCTGAACAAGGAACCGTTTTCGTTGGGGAGGTGCTCGGTGTTCCTTGATTGTTGCATAGCTTTCCTAAGGTTGTCCTTCGGTTTTCGATAGGAAGCCGAATTTTAACTTATGGATAAAAGGGGCCTCGTTCCTTCTGTCGGGTTCCTTGGGTCAGAGCCCCGACTGTATGGACTCTTACACGTGTCGCTGAGGACTTGGATGGGCTCGCCGAGGTCTCGCCGCGTCGCCGCCCGTGGCCGTCTCGCGACCGTCCCGTTGCCGCCCACTTGGGGCGGCCTGATCGTGTGTGCATTCGGCGGAAGCCTCGATTCGGTGAGCACGCGGCAGGCGCATGAGTTTCTGGGAGCCACCCACCGTGCAAACCTTCACAACAGCCTGGTTATCCTCCATGCACTCCGCCCTCAGCGCCTGGCCGAGTGGCCGAGGTCTCACCGCGCCGCCGCCCGTGGCCGCCCCGTCGCCGCCCGCCGCGCTGGGAGGCTCCGCCGAGGCTCCGCCGCGGCTCCGCCGCCCGTGGCCGCCTCGCGGCCGCCCACCGCGCGGTGGCCTGCACACCTCTCGCGAGAGCTCGCTGCTGTGGGTCCGCGCTGCCAGGCTTCCTTCTCCTCCTCCTCCTCCTCCTCCTCCTCCTCCTCCGCCTCCTCCTCCTCCCCTCCTCCTCCTCCTCCTCCTCCTCCTCCTCCTCCTCCTCCGCCTCCTCCTCCTCTCCTCCTCCTCCTCCTCCTCCTCCTCCTCCCTGACAGCAAAGGGGTCCTCGGTGCGTCGGCGCCCGACGAGGGCCGACGGCGCCGACGCGCGCCTCCTGCGCCGGCCCTTGCGTGCCCACACCTGGGGCTGTCTGCGCCCCGATCTGCCGCCTCGTGGGGCAACTTAGGAGTGGACCTGCACGGTGTTTTGGCGATTCCGTGGGCCGTTTCCGTTTCGATTTCGTTCTGCGCCAGAGGCGGATTGAAGACAGAACGAGGGACAACGAAAACGAAACGAAAACGAAAAACGCCGCTTAGGTTCAGCCTTGGGCCAACCGCTTGGGCGGCCCCGCCGCGCCTCGGGCGGCGGCGCCCGCGCGCGCTCGCCGCCGCCGCGGCGGGCCGCCCTCGGCGCCCGCGGCGCCCTCCGCGGCGCGGCTGCCACGCGGCCGCGCGGCCGGGAGCTGGGCCGCCCTCGCTCGGGAGCCTCGAGACGGGGGTCAACGCAGACGGGGGTCAGCCCGAGCGCCCGATCCTGCAGGATCCTGCAGGGCCCGGGTCGCATGGACCCAGGCCTGGGTGCAGGATCCTGCAGTGTCTCTTGCAGGGTCCTTCGCGCTGGCCCGGGCTTGGGCGCAGGATCTTATGCAAGTGGATTGTTGCAGGGTTCTGCAACAATCCAGTTGCATAAGATCCTGCTTGACAACCAATCCTGGATGATCCTGTAACTTGACAGCTTGGCAGGATCTGTTGCAGGGTTCTGCAATTGGCCTGACTGGCCCGGGTCTGGATCGACCCGGGTCAGCAGAGGTCCCCGACTCGCGGAGCGGCGCCCGCCTCCGCGGCGGGAGCGGCCGGGGTGGGTGCGGAAGGAGTGTGCCGCCATGGGGCGAGCAGGTCTGGCGGGTGGCTCTCTACTCCAGGTTTCGTAATGAAAGGGAGGGGGTCACAACCCTCCCAGACCAGAAGTTTTAGACCCCCCCAGACCATCCATGAAAGGGCGGCACTTTGCCCAGACCACCCCGAACCCTTCAAGACAGCTCAAATCGGACTTCCCGCCAAATGTGACCCCCCCTACTTTATTATGGAATCCGGAGTGGGTGCTTCGCCGTGGTCGGGCCCTCGTGTTCTCTTTTCGAGCTTTTGGGGAAGCTCGGGAGCGGCTCGGGACGGACAGCTTGTCGTGTGGGGAGGCCCCCGGGTCCAGGACCCGTTCGCCTCAGAACCCGTCTCTTGCATGACAAGCGGCGGCAGAAGACCGGCAGCCGTTCCTGCCAGTTTTGAGCAGTTCGAAGCGGGGAGTTGTCCATAACCTCCGCTTGGGGCATCTTCGGGGGCCTCGGCAGGCGGCGGATACGGATATATTCGGACCCTGGGGGAGCGGGGTCAAATACATTCATACCCACTGCTTGCCGACGTCCCCGAAGATCGATTCCCCAGGCGGCGGCTCTGGAGAAATCCCCGCCTCGCAGTTCCTGCTCATTTTGACCAGGACTAGGACGCGTATGCTTACCACTTGAGGTAAAGATCTGCCCAGCAGCGGCCGCTGTCGCTTTTGGGCAACGTTTGCCGTTGGGCGTAGTCCCTATTCTGTCCCCGAAAAATTCCGGGTGTGCCAACCTGACGCAGCCGGGCCCTCGGACGTGTTCGTGGGTTCTCGGCGGTTTTTCTCGCCTCGGGGTGCTCCCCGGCAGCTGCGCCTCGCCGAGAGCTTCCCTGGGGTGCCCGCAGCGTCCCGAGCGGCCGCCAGAGACCCGAGCCGTTACGGTGGGGGCGTTCGTTAAGACATGTGCCTGGGAGGCTTGAGGCCCCTGGAGGACCCCTTGTGCAGTGGGGGCGGCGGTGGTCCCATGGCCAATCCACGATTGGAGTTCCACCTGCTTCCAGACCTTGGATTCCTGATCCAAGGGTTCCTTATCCCGTGCGATGATTTGGCAGGCTTGAGGCTTTGCCTTTGGTGACCTGCGCCTGGCCAGGAGTCGCCAGAATGAGGGGGTGACTTGCTTTCGAGTTTCGGAGCCCCGTTCTCAGTTCTCATCCGGGGGACTGCATACTACCCACTGTGGGATCACGCTCTGCGGCGTGACAGCGAGGCACCAGTGACCTGTCAGCTCTCGAGTGTAGTATACGTACTTATCACGAGCAGGTGAATGCTTCACGAAGTGGTCCTCTATGCTGCCTAATTAGAAATAATAACCTCACGGTAACCAAGGTCCAGTCGACGAGGATCACTCGGGACGGGTGTGCTGCGCCGCTTCCCGGGCGCTGGCGGCCTCCGCGGGCCCCGGCGCCGCTCCCAAAGATCGGCTCGGGGCGGAGGGGCTGTCCTGGGGGCGGGCCCCGGGGGTCCAGGGTCGGGTCGGCCGAGAAGGGGGGGGCAGGGAGAGGGGGGGGCGGCAAAGAGGGGGGTGATGACTAGGGGGGGGTGGATATCATGGCGGGGGCCATGATACTTCCCCAGATTTCATGGCGCCCCTTCTTATTTCATTACGTCCCTGGCCCCCCCGCTGGGCCGCGCACACGCCGCCGGTCATGATTTGCACCCCCCCTCTCTTGGACACCCCCCTCTTGGACGCTCCCGGGGAGGGGGGGGGACGAACATGGAGCCAGTTTCGGCAGCGCCTCTGCGCGCTTAGCTGAACACAGTGGCGCCAGGAGGTGGCGGAGGAATTCGCTACATGGGCCGATTCGCACCCCCCGCTCTCTTGTCCCACACATCCGACGCCGAGATGTTTCCCCACGTGGCTCCTCCGAGGTCTGGGCCCGTTCCTCGGAGGTGGCGTTTCATCCTGATCGGTCTTGATGGAGCCAGGGCCTTTCAGAAGGGGCCCCAGCGGCCGAACATGACTTGTTTCACGACGCGACGGTGATCGTTTTTTTTGTCATTGTTTGGCCGATCAGCGCGGGCGCTCTCTCTCACCCTCTCCCCCCCCCCCAACGAGTGGATCTTGGATCTTTTTGGCGTCTCTTTCGGCCAAGCAGGTGGAGCCTCCCCTACAGGACGCACTGCTGCAGACAGTCGCATGGAGCAGGGGTCCGGAGCCAGCCCCCCTCGCCCCCCCTTTCGCCCAGTGTCGGATCGCCGCAAAAGAACACGTTCACACAATTAGGGTTGAGTCGGGCCTGTCCCTCTGCAGGAGGAACATGCAAAAATTATCAAATATTAATATTGGGACCATGTTTTGACTATGTTTGACCATTTTGGAGTATTTTTACTATTTCATATTTTTCGTCCAAAATCCGCCTGTAGGGGGACGTGCCCGACTTATAATTAGGGGAGCGAATTACGGCATAAACACAAAAACGCGGAGGTCCGTGCGGATTTCTCGGATCGGCGCTGGACCCCCCTGCCTGGCGCACGGAGCGCGCCAGGGGCGGCGCCGGAGGCGCCGCCAGGGGGGCCCCAGCGCCGCTCCGAGGAACCCGCGCGGACCCCACAGCTTTTATGCTTATGCCACTTTTTGTGCCCCGGGGGAGGAGGAGGAGGAGGAGGAGGAGGAGGAGGAGGAGGAGGAGGAGGAGGAGGAGGAGGAGGAGGGGGAGTTCGGGCGCCATGCAGGGGGACCCTGCCAGTGGATCGTTGTGGGCCTTCTCGATGGACCCCCTTCTGAGAGCCCTCAGGAAGCGCCTTTCTCTCTCGCCAGGCTCGGAGGCGGGCGTGTGTGCGGATGATGTGGGGCTTGCTCTCTCGGAAGTCAAGGCTCTTAAGAGAGTGCATAGTGTTTTTTATGCTGCCGAAGTCTTGGCGGGGCTTCAATTAAAAATACCAAAGTGCTGCATCGTTCCGCTGGAAGCGGAGTTCTCCCCAGGATTGAAGAAGTCAATCGAAGCTCTCCTAGCGGTGCATGTCCCGAGCTGGAAAAGCATGCCTGTCGCTGCCATGGCAGAGTACCTCGGGGTATGGATTGGCCCTGCTGCGAATATGGAGATGTGGTCGAGGATGTTTCGGGAGTGGGTGGAGGTGGTGCACGCGATAACAAAGCAGCAGGCCGCTCCCTCGGTCGCCATCCAGCTTTATAACTCTCGTGCTGTCTCCAAATTCTCCTACCTCTGCCAACTCGCCCCTCTCCCCAAGCATGTGGCGCGATGGGAGTCGTGGGCATTGCACAAAGTCCTTCACCTCCCCTCCTGCACTTTCCCGCTCCAGGACCTCCTTGCTCTCAGGACTTGGGCCAAGGTTCGTCCCTTGTCGCTCAAGGTGCAAGCCACAGCGACCCTGTGGCGAGCCGCGGCCGTCACCATCAAGAACTGGAGGCCGCTGTTCTGCCGCTTGCAGAAGAAGGCTAGGACCGCCCTCCCCATCGTGCTCTGGACCCGCAATTGTTGGTCACCGCCGTTCTGGCAGCGTAGGGCCTTTGTGCAGGAGCTGGCCGAGGCTGCAGCAGGTTTTGTCGAGAACGACTGGCTGAGGGCTCCTGTGGCTCGTGCCAAGATCGCCCTGAAGGAAGCCCAAGAGGGAAACCCTCGGGTCCAGGTCCAGAGAGTTTTTGGCCGCTCCTTGGGCGCGAGTCTGTATCAGGATTGCTTTTCGGACACCATCAAACGGCGTATATCTTCGTGGGCCTCGAGGCTCCCTTCTTCCCGCGCCATGAAAGCCATAGACTGGCCCGCGCTCCGAGATCGAATGATGAGCGCGCCACCGTCATGGCAGATGTGCATTGTAAAGACTCTGGCGGGTGGGTGGGTGACGGAGCGGAGGATGTCTCAGAAGCGCTGCATGTGCATTTTCGGGTGCTCTGAGGAGGAAGGTGAGGATAGCCAGGCTCATTATATGTGCTGCCCGTGCATGTGGGGTGCTGTTCTCCAAGTCTGGCATCCTGATAAACCCCTCCCAGTGCATCTCGACTCTCGGCTCGCCCTCGCTCGCTCGCTTACAGACGATGAGCGGGATCTGGCAGCCCAACGTATTGTAATTGCATACTATCTGTACAATGCCCACCGTCGTTGCTCTTCTCAGGCTCTGGTAATTTCTGCTCGGGCAGCCCGAGCCCAGATGCTTCAGCAGGCTGATGTAGAGTGATGATGACTTGAGGACTTCCCTGGGCTACGTGCGAGGAGGAGGAGGAGGGGGAGGATTGTTCGTTCCCCTAATGACGTCAGGGTGTATTTTACCCCTCCCCGTGGCCCGAGCGCCAGTGTCTCTGGAGGCCCCTGCGCGCCGAGTCAGAGCACGCTGCCTTGAGGTTAGGATGCATTGCCCTCCCCACTGACGCTGTTTTGCTGGACTTCGGGCTGTGTTTTCCCTTTCGTTTTGGGAGGGAGGTGCAGGAAAACACAACAGGTAGAGCAAAACGCACCACAAAACGAGAGAGCAACACGAAACACGACGCTTGGGCCCAGCCCTGACGAGGAGCCCTGGAGGCCGAACTTGAGGAACAGCCCCGGATTGGAAAAAGAGATCGTCGGAGACCTGGGTGCGCGGAAGCTTAGTGGGCCCTGGAAACGACAGGGCCGTTTTTTTACCGGTTCCGTCTTGCCGTTTTTGTTGCCGGTTCCGACGCCGTCTTTTTACAGGTTCCGTCGCCGTTCTTCGACCGGTTCAGGCTCCGGCTCCATTCCTACAGTGAGGGCCCTGAAGAAGGAACCCTTTTCGTTGGGGAGGGGCTCCGCGTTCCTTAAGTGTTTCGCAGCTTGCCTCGGGTTTTCCTTATGTTTTCGATCGGAAATCGAAGATTAACGTATGGGAAAAAGGGGCCTCGTTCCTTATTTTGGGCTCCTTGGGTCAAGGCCCCGACTGTACTGATGTCAGGGTGTATTTTACCCCTCCCCTTGGCCCTGCCGCTTCCGGGGCCCACTTAAGTCGAGGCCCGTGTGTGCGTGCGTCGGGCCCCAGGAGTGCGCCGCAGCCCGGGCCACTCATGGTCGCCGCCTGGGCCGCCTCCTCCGCGGTCGAGACGAGGCTCGCCGTGCCAGGGAGTGAAGACCGGATCGGAGGCCCAGAGATCGACACCGACACCACTAATGCGGGAAAACGATTAACACAAAAAATGGGAGAGAACGATTAGCAAACATAGTTTTCTGCTATTTCTGCATAATTTTCTGACTGGAGGAGGACGATAAAAAAATAGTTTTCCAGCCCGCGGCCGGTTTTTTCTAATCGTCATCCCGGGCGCCGCCGCGTGACCACGACCCCCGGTCATTTATGAATCGTCACCCTCCATTATCGGCGATGTGCCTCCACCGAGGGAAGATGATCCCGATCACAGCGTTGGTGGTAGTATTACCGGGCCTCCAAGGTGGCCGAAATATGACCACCAACATTTAAACCTAGGATCACCTTACCCCTGCGGTGGCAGCCTCCTGTGTTGGCGTTGGTGCCCATTTCCAGGCCTCCAGTATCAGAGGATGAAGAGGTGCGGATGCCGCTGCTCGTCCTGGAGAGCCCCCGTTGCCAAGGCTCCGATTAGGGGGTCGGCTACAGAATTGATGCACCCCAGAATTGATTTGCTCGTCGACTATACCAGAAAATACCTAGAATGTTCGGCAGATCTACGGAAGTTCCGCGTAGTTGTTCCAGATCCGACAGAAATTACGACTTTGGGGTGAATCAGTTTTGCAGTCGATCCCCCACTCGAAGGCTGGAGTGTCCTCGAAACTCTGGTCAGCCCGCACCCCTGGAGATGTCTGGGGAGGATGTGAGGTGATCCTCGGCCTCCCAGCGCCCTTCCCGGGCCTCAGGGACGCCGAAAGACGACCCGCGATGAACACAACGGCCCCGGGGGGGGCGGTGCTGTCCAGACGTGCTGGCATCCGCGCATCAAAGCACTCGGCGCGCCGGATGTCTGGGAAGGTATGGATGCCGCTGTCCAGGGCCTCTGCGGCTGGCTTCGCCTCGTGGTCCTGGTCAGAGTGGCGGCATCGAGATCTGTTTCTGTTCCCGATGCTCTGTGGGCGGTGTTCTCGGATGGCGGGTGCCCGGCGCGGGACCGGCGTGGATTCTGAGTGGACTCGTCGTGGACTCGCCGCGGACAGCGGCGCGATGGGGCAGACTCGAAGTGATCATCCGGTTTGGCTTGTTCCGTCCTTGGAGGCCTCTGGCAGGCCGTTCTCGAGCCCCGCGGCCGTCAGAGAGCACCTCGGGACGGAAAACTGCTCCTGGGGGAGCGGTCGAGGGGCCCAGGGTCCCTAGACCCTAGACTCGATTGGGGCGGCGGGTCCCCTAGACCCTAGACTCGATTGGGGCGGCCTCCTCAGGGGCTCAGGGCTTTTCTTTTTACAGATGGGCCCCCCGCCGCGCGAGGAGCCCTGCATGAAGCTTTCGGTACCCTCTCGGAAGACCGGCCCCCCTGCAGTCCATCCCGAGCGGCGCCAGACAGGGAGCTCCAGGATGCAACTCCCGTTTGAATTCTTTACGTTTCGCGTATGTCCACCAGCTTATCTTGCGCTGTGCCCCAGCCTCGGTCTTTACGCCCTCTGGACTTTTCCTTGCGGGCCGCTAATCAAAAAAAAATGTCCACCAGCTTGCCTTCGCCGCCTGACCCTTGTCTCGTGGCCGCGACCAAAAAGTATGTCCACCAGCCCATCCCAAAACTGCAATTTTTCCGAAGCGCGCTGAAAGCCGTTGTTTTCGGGCGAACCTTCTCCTGCCCTCGCATATACCCCCTGTTCCTCCTACATTCCACCTGCTCCCTTTTAGCTCTTCCTTGTGGGAGGAGTGGGTGGGGGACGAGGCGGAGGAGGAGGAAGAAGAGAAGGCGGTGTGAGGCGAGAGGCTGATAGCGGCGACGACGACGACGGCGATGACAACAACAACGACGACGACGACAACGACGACGACGACGTCTACGTCGACGACGACGACGAAGATGACCGCGACGACGACCGAGACGACGACGACAGCGACTACGACGACCCCGCCCTCTCCCTCTTAGCTCTTCCTTGTGGGAGGAGTGGGAGGAGGAGGAGGAGGAAGAGAAGGCGGTGGAGACGAGAGGGAGATAGCGGCGACGACGTCGACGACGACGATGACCACAACAACGGCAACGACGACGACCACGACGACGACAATGACTACCACGACGACCACGGCGACTACGACGACGATGATGACGACGACGACGACGGCGACGACCGCGACGACGCCGACGACGAGTCAACCATCAATGCATTTTCTGGGTCTTTCTCTCTGAGAGCCTTTTAGAGGCATCTTGTGGCTTTGCAGAGGCCTTCTTGGTCATCTTGCGGAGTTCTCTGGGCCCTTTTGGGGTCGAGGTGGTGCCTCTTAGAGCACCCTTGGAGCTCTTTTGGGGGGTCTTGGGGCCCTCTGTGGGCTTTTGGGGGGTCCGGGAGATCTTTTAGGGCCACCTTGGAGGCCACGACTCAAACAGGAGCGCGGCGTCAATTACGGTCCCCCCTTCGTAACCCGAGAAGTTGCCTCTTGGGGACCCTCTTGGGCCGCTCTTGGGGCGCTCTTTGGCGCTCTTGGGCCCATCTTGGGCCTCTCTGGGGCCTGTCTTGGGGCTCTCTTGGGCCATCTTGGGGCCATCTTCAAGCCTCAAGACCCCATTGAAAGCGGAACCGGCAAGAAAACGGCAACACGGAACCGGTAAAAAAGCGGCCCTGTCGTTTCCAGGTCCCACTAAGTCCCTGGCCTTGCATGCTATGCCCTCCGCAGCGCAGACGATGCTTGCCGCGGCAAGCGAGGCTGCCCTGCGCTCTCAGCAGCACGGGAGCCCTGGCAGGACGAATCTCTGTGCGACAGCATGTGGCCTTCCGCACGCTGCCCCCCACGCGTGCAAAAGAAGCTTTCCACGCCGCGGGCGGCAGCAGTCGATCCTGTGGCATACTTACAGGTCGAAAGCGTGTCGCGCAGTGCTGTCATCGCGTGCTGTTATCGTGTGGCCAGGGGAGACTCTCCCCGGGCCATACAAGTGCTCGACGGGGCCGACCGTCCACGCGCCCAGGAGGTGGGTCGGGCAGTGCTGCGCGGCCGTGCTTCCAGCAATGACTGACAGGTGTCGCTCGCACGTGACATGCTTTTCTGCGGTATCCTCACAGCTTATGCTCTTATGTTTCATAGTGAAAATCATCGTCCTCCTCCTTCTCCTCCTCCTCCTCCTCCTCCTCCTCGTCCTCCTCCCCTGACGTCCTGCAGTCTGCATGCCATCCCGGCTCGGCGGCATTTGGCCGCCACCTTGCCTCGAGCCAGCCGCCAGCCACCCGCCCGAGTGGCTCTCGGCGGTTCTCGCCCCCTCGGGCGTCTGAACTCCTCAGACCCGCCGCCTGCGACCCCGAGGGGCTGCTGCAGGCGCTGGCTTCTCCTGCGCCGAAGTGCAGCCTCGCGAAGAATCACGACCAGACCCCGAGACCCCATCTTTGTGAGTGATTTCTCGAGCGGGATCGATCTGTGGTGCTGCGCAAAAATGGCGAGGCCCCGACCTCAATGCGGTCCCCTCCTCGTGACCCATCCGCCCTCATCTCGCAGCTCTGCCGGGACACCGGGCGCAACGCTCGGGTCTCAGGTTTACCCGCCTCCCGATGAGGGGTGCCGCCGACGCTCGCTGCGAGGGCCTGCGGGAGAGGCTCCGCGAGCTCCACTACTGCGAGCCCGTGGACGCCGAGTCCGCGGAGCTCGTCGAGCGGATCCTCGGCGACCTCGTCGCGTCCATCGACAAGCTGCTGGGGCTGAGGCGCCAGGAGGAGGCGCAGGCCGAGGGCTGAAGAGAAGCACTCCCCTCCAGGACTGCAGCTGTGGTGGGCGGGTCCGAGGTCTCGCGGGGGGGATCCGATGGCTCATCACTCGAGGAAGAAAAGACGGCATGAGCATCAGCGGTGGGAGGGCCGTGCCAGTGTCTTGGATCGGCGCTGGGCCACGCTGCCGGCGCCTCGGGCGCCGAGCGCCGGGGAGGGGGCTCCAGCGCAGGTCCAAGAACTCCGCGGGGTCTCCGCGCGCTTCTGTTTGTGTGTGTGTTTTTGGTCCTCAGCGATCGTTGGCCAGCCAGCCGCCCCCCAAAGCCTGAGCCTCAGTCGTGGCGGGCGGGCCCGAGGGTCCGGGGGGGGGGGCGGGCCGGACGAGACCGTCCAGCAGGCCCAGCGGCTCAGCGAGACCAGGTCGGAGTTGGGCGCCCTCGAGCTCGACAACCCCCAGCTCTCCTCGGACAACAACGCCCTGCACCTCGAGCTCATCGACGCGGGCGAGGAGGCGGACCGGCGTGAGGAGGAGGCACGCGAAGGCCTGCGGCGGCTGGAGGACGAGGCCGAGGCTGCCCAGCTCGCGCTCCGAAGGGCCCAGTGCGTTGGCAACGAGAGGTCGGAGGGCACCAACTAAGCACCTACACCGATCCTGGCCAGGCTGATTCTGGGCCCAGGAAACGCTGAGATGGGTGCGTTGCGATTTCTGCACACTTTCGCCCCCGTGGTTGTTCGCGGCGTTAAATGTTTGTTCAGCCTGGATGGGCCTGGTCAGGACGAGCCTGGCCAGGATCGGCGTAGGTGTACACGTGGCGTCCTCTTAATGTCAGGGAGCAGGAGCTCCACGCCCTCCGCGCGCAGGCCCTGCAATGCCTGGAGCCCTTCGAGCCGCGGGCGCCGACGGCCGCGGCTCGCGGCGGCCACGCGGGAGCAGACGGGGCGGTCAGGGGCCGCCCCAGAGGCACGCGCAGGCGGCGCGGCGAGCAGGCGGCGCTGCGGGCGAAGGCCGCCAGTCTGGAGGAGGCCCTCGACGACTGCGCGGCGCAGGTGGCGGACCTCGAGGACGACGCGCGGCGCCACGAGGACCACGCCAGGGGCTCCGAGGAGCGTGCCGCGGAGATCGCCCACCGCCTGGCGGGGCAGGGACCCAGCCGGGGGGCGCAGGGGAAGCGCGCCGAGCTGGCGCGGCTGAGGCGCGAGGCGGCCGAGCTGCGGCTCGCCGTGGCGCGCGGGGAGCGCGCCGCGACGCAGCTCGGCGGGCGGCGCGCCGAGCTGACCGCACAGCGCGAGGCCGCGCGCCTGGAGGTGGCGCGGCTGGCGCCCTCGCTCGAGGCGCTGCAGGGCGACGAGGCGCGCGCGGCGGCGCAGGCGCAGCAGCTGGCGGACGGCGGCGCGCGGCGGGTGCTTGCCGAGGAGCAGCAGCTGGCGGAGGCGGACCGCCGCGCGGACGAGGCGAGCGCGCAGCACGCCGCGCTCGCGGAGGAGAACGCCGAGCTCGCCGCGCAGGTGCGGGAAGCGGAGGCGGAGGCGCGCGACGCGGCGGCTGCCGCCGAGGCGCGGGCCGCAGAGGCGCGGGGCGCGGCGGGCGCCCCCGCGGCAGGCCAGCGCCCCGCCGAGTCGGCGGGCGGCACCGAGCATCCGGCAGAGGCGGCCAGGGCGGCGCAGCTGGAGCTGCGCGCGGAGCAGGTGGCTGACGGCGCCCTCGAGGGGGTGGCGCAAGGGGGAGCGGCCGTCTGAAAAGGCGGGGGTGCTTCTAAGAAGCCCTCCCCGGCCCTTCCAAAAGTGTTTCTGCCTCCTAAGAAGCTCCCCGCCTTCTGACATCAGAAGGCCGCCTCCCTGGTGTTGGCCCCTCGTGCGCGCCGCCAGAAGGTGGAGGCCGAGTGCCTGCAGGCAGGTGAGCTGCAGGCCTCGCTGGAGGCGCAGGTCGATGTCGCGCAGGCCTCGCTGGACGAGGCGCTGGCCCGCTGCCGCGAGCGCGATGCCGCCTGCGAGCGTTTCGAGGCGGACGCCACGCACGGGCGTCAGCGGGCGAGGCAGATGAGCGCGCGCGTGGGCATGTTGCGGGCCTCGCTGCAGGACCTCGACGGCGAGCACGAGCTGCTGCTGGAGCACGCGCACGCCCAGCAGGGCGCGCTGTTCGAGGCCAGCGGGCGGCGCTGGCCAGAGCTGCGCGAGGGCACACGGCGCCTGGGCGCCATGGTCGAGTCGCTGGACGGCGAGCACGGGCAGCGCTCCGCCGAGCTGGAGCGCGCCCTGGGCGCGGAGAGGCGGAGCCGCGACGGGCTCGCCACCGCGGAGCGCGCGTTGGAGGCGGCGACGGCGGCGCACGCCCGGGTGGAGCGGGAGGAGGTCGCGGCCGAGGAGCGGGCCGAGGTGGCGGCGGCGCAGCGGGACGACCTCGCCGAGGAGGTGGCGCGCTGGGCCGTCGAGCTTCGGGAGGAGTCGCGGCGCACGCTGCAGGCGCACGACCGCGCCGCGGCGCTGCGGGGCGCCGCTTCCGACGCCGCCGCGGAGGCGGACGCGGCGCGCCGCTCGGAGGCCGCAGACGAGCGTCGCGCGCGCGAGGAACTGGCGCGGCTCCGCCGCGCCACCGCGGCCGCCGCTGTCGAGAGGGCGCGCCTCGAGGCCCTGCGCAGCGAGGGAAGCCTGCAGGTGCGCGAGCGCGCGCAGCGCGCGGAGGAGCGGCTCGGCAGGATGCAGCAGGAGCTCGAGCAGGTGGTCCACCGCCATGGCGGCATCCTCGAGGAGATGGAGCAGGCCGACGTTCACCAGCACCAGCTCGAGGCCGAGGCGCAGGCGCTGGCGGCCCGCGCCGCGGACGCGGAGGCGCAGCTGCAGATCCTCGGCGAGGCCCGCGCCCGCTCCCGCCAGCAGCTCGGCGCCGCCGAGGCATCCCTCGCCCACGGGCGGCTCGCCGCCGAGAACGCCCGCCACGCTGGGCCCCTCCGCGCGGAGGCTGGGGAGCTCACGGCCCAGGTCGCGTCGGCAGAGGCTGCGCGGGACCGGCTGGGCGCGGAAGTGCAGGAGGCGCTGCAGCAGCTGGCGAGCGAGCGCCCGCCCTCGGACGCGGCTGGTGCCAGGTTGGGCGACGAGGACCGCGCCCTGACGGCCCAGGTGGAGGCCCTCCGCCGCGCCGCGCTAGAGCTGGACGAAGAGTGCGACGGCAGGCGGCGAGCGGCGGACCTGGGCGCCGAGGAGGCGGCGGAGGCCGAGAGGCGCATGGCGGCCGATGGCCGCGAGGCGGCGGAGGCGCGGCAGGCGGTCGAGGACCTGCGGGCGGCGGCGGAGGCAACGGCCGAGCAGCTGCAGGGGGCGCGCGCGGCGTTGGCGGAGCGCCGACGGCTGCTGCAGCAGCTGCAGGGCCGTGGCGCCGTCCTGCGGCGGGAGGCCTCCGAGGGCTCCGGCGAAGCGTCCACTATCATGGACGACCTGATGCACATGACCAGGGAGAACCAGTCGCTCCACGAGGAGATCCGCACCCTCGAGGATGGGGTGGGCGCGCTGGCGCGCGAGTCGCGCGGGCTGGCGCTGGAGCGGGAGCTCGGCGCACAGCAGCTGCAAGCGCTGCAGCTGGAGAGGGACGACGTGGGGCGGCTGTACCACCAGGTCTGCCAGCAGACCCGCGCGCAGTCGGCCGCCATCGAGCGGCTCAGGGCCGAGGGCGACCTGGCGCGCAGCGCGGTGGGGGCCGTGGACTCCGACCTCCGGAGGGCGCTGCGGTGCGAGGAGGAGTGGCAGGCCCAGAGCGACCAGGTCTCCACGGACCTCGCCGTCGTGCAGGGGCAGGTGCAGGACATGGCCGGGCGCCTGCTCCGCGCGGAGGCCTCCCACCGCGAGGCGCTGCAGGAGGACGCGCGCCTGGAGGGCGGCGTCGCCGCCGCCGCCGAGGTGTGCCGTGGCTCCAGCCTCCGCGGCGCGGCACAGCATCGCGCGGCGGCGGCGCTGCGCGCCCGGCGGCAGCAGCTGGCCGACGCGGCGCAGCGCGCGCGCGCGGAGGCGCAGGCGCAGCGGGCCTTCGCCGCAGAGGGCTGGGAGCAGGCGGGGTCGCGCAGAGGGCATCCACCGACACCGCCGCCGTGCAGGGCCACCCTTAGCGCAGTAGGCGCGGTGCACCACGACCTCCTAGCCCTTGCCAGGGCCATGACGGCGGTTTTGCACCGCGCCATCCTGTGGCCCAGGATGGTACTGGCCTGGCACGGCGGCGGTATATGTGTGGACGCCTTCTGCGGAGGCGAGGCGCCTGGAGGCCCTGCTGGAGGAGGGGTGGCGCCAGCTGGGGGCGCGCGAGGAGGAGAACGAG